GGGAGGGAGGGAGAGAGGGAGGGTGGGAGGGAGGGAAGACTCAAGCCGGGAAAAAGGTAGTAGTTATTCAGTGACTCCTTTTATAATACAAGCTGGACATAAAGTTTGTGTGCAATTTACTACGTTAAACTATTTTAAATTGCACACGAACTTTACATCCACCCTATTAAAAAACTAGAAACAATCCAAATATCCTTCAGTAGAGGAATGGCCAAACCACAGCTGCCCTGGAAAGGAACTCTGTGCAGTTCACTAAAAAGAACACCATAGAACTATTCATACTGTCCTGAAAAGATATTCATGACTATGGTTAATTAAAAAAGCAAGTTCTAGAACAGCAGGTATAGAAAAAGACCCATAAAAATTCTATCTAGCTATCTAGCTATCTAGGTCCATCTCTGTCTACAAATATGCAAAAGATAATTTGGTTGAAAAATATTAACTACTAGAGGGAGGAATGGAAAAACAGGAGACCTAGGGGAGTGGATCTTTATTTTTTACTTTCCACACTTGGGTATTATTTGAAGTGTCTTTTTTTCTAAAAAGCACATATTACTTTTATGTTTAAAACAAACACAATTAAACTGATAAAGAAAAACAAAGAAGGTTATTTGCCTTCTCCATACTCTGCAGCCTTGGCCATCATGCTGGCATTCAGATGCCTTGTGCTAGATTGACCCTACCTCTGCAAGGCTGCCTCTTCCACCCTGAAAGTTGTAGCATTAGGGCAGAGCTTCCTAAGGCAGAGTGTCCTGCCTGCTGTAAAGGCGACTCTTAGCTCTTTTGGGCTTTCAGGTGGGAAGACAGGGGTTGAAAGAATAAACCAAAGGGCTAGGTGCAGTGGCCCATGCCTGTAATCCTAACATTCTGAGGCAGGTGGATTGCTTCAGCTTAGGATTTTGAGAACAGCCTGAGTAAGAACAAAACCTGGTCTCTACTAAAAATAGGAAAACTATCTGGGTATTGTGGCAGGCACATGTAGTCCCAGCATGGACTGTAGTCCCAGCTACTCTGGAGGCTGAGGCAAGAGAAT